TTACTAGGCTACTACCTTTATTATAACTATATTTTAGTTATTATACTTAATAGAGATTTATCTATTTAATATATACCTATTAAGAGGCTTTAGTATTAATACTTAATTCTAGTAGGTTATAGTATAGCTTACTATTCTTTTTAAAGATAATTAATCTAATACGCTACATAGTAAATAGAAGAAGACAGAATTAAAGTAATTACTCTAGTTATCTTACTAAGTATTAAATTAGATAGAAGAAGTTATAAAGTTATAGACGAAAATAGAATATAAATAGTATTTAGCTTACTATAACTCAGATTCTTCTCTTATATACTTTTACTATAATACTCACTTCTTTAATAATCATTCTAAGTATTATAAGGTATAGCCTACTATTTCTTTATAAGGTAATTTGTTTAATACTCTATATAGTATAAAGAGGGAAAAAAGTTAAGCAATATGAATTAAGTAGACACTAGTTCTATACAGAATAAATTATAGCATCTTAACGTTTTTAATTACAATCTTAATTAAAAATAGATATAAAATTTTATAACAAATACCTATTTAAACTTTGTACATATTATTAATATTCTTTTTTAATATTAAGTCTCTATTGGTATAAGACCTATAGGCGAAGAGATATTTGTTTTATTCAACTAGAATAACGTTTCTAAACACAGGATTGCACTCTAAGGCTTCACCTTGCATAAAGCCGTGCACATAGGCACCCCCGACAACCTGGAAAGTATAAGAATTGATCTCTCGGAAGATCAAAGGCACACGGCACCCAGCAACGACCCATACTGAATCTTGTTGTAGAAGGGACATTGAGCCCACTCCAATATAGCCTTTGCCCGTTAGGAAATACCGAAGATGAAGAACATGGGAAAACATCGTCTCAAATTCGTCATAGTCAACATAGCTGTTAGGTGTCTATGAGGAAGCAACGCTGTATTGTATGGATGGCGCATTTGAATATGATGAATGGGAGATTTCCGCTGGTAAAAAATCCGCCATGTTGTTTACAAAAGCAAGGTCTTTTGAGGTCTGAATCGTTTCTTGAACATGACGCGATAGTTTCGAAGTAATCCACGAGATATATGCAGAACGGTAGCTGTTGGGAGCAGGACAACAAGGAGGAACACCCGCTGTATCCGTAATCAGTGTTCGCCATAGCACCTCTGATCGAGATTGCCCGGTATGATAGATGGGAGTCATCGTATTAAAAATCCGAAGCAGGCCGGGAAACGGGTTCCCACTGAGGATAGACTCTTTGGTTTCGCTGCTAGCAACAATATCGTCTAGTCGAAATCCTTTTATCGTCAAACGGCGATCGTCCTCATTAATATTTAGGGCTCTGGGAAAAGCCCCTGCAGCTGCAAACCTCCTATATCCGGTGATGCCTAGTCCAAGAGCTCGAGCACAACTCCAATCAGGGACCCAGGTGGGTAAGGAGGGTATCGTACGGAAGTTGTCACCTTCCGCACAACAAAGTAAGAGTAAATCATCTGAGTCTTCTAGGATCTGGATGGCAGCCAGCGTATATGTCTCCGCTACCGATCTATCGCCATAGACAGGGATTAAGCGGCTCTTCGTCAAAGTAGAGTCCCCTGTGATACTGAGGAGCGAATAAACCTTATCTCGGGGATCTGTGGAGGCGAAGCGACGAAATCTGATGAGAGAGTAAAGCAGACTATTGGAGAGTTTGTTGACGTCGAGAATATTTGGAACAACGTGTCCTCCTTGATGTGAACTAGTAACGTTGGATATCCATCTTTTCCAGGGAGTGACGGAAAGAAACTCTGACACTGTGGTCATAGCTTCCCAGTCCACCATTTGACTTCCACACAGAGCTTTGACTTTTCTGCCCAGTGTGATTTCCTGGATGATCCATGCTCGAGTGAAGTATCTGCGCTGGAACAGCTTGGCCATTGCCATCCAAGCGGTGACGTCTGCACAAGGTCCGAGTCTCGCGGTCAGATTAGCACTCCCCAAGGATTTTGGGGTAATATCCATCAGTGCCTTAATTCTTACTCGTCGCTCGGTAATCTCGCTACAAAAACCCAGCAATGCTCTTATCAATTCAAAGGCGATTCTGGTATCATCGTCTTCCTCGCCCAGCCAGGCGTGCACAATACCGGCACATCGGTATATTCTACCCATCATTTGTACTTGAAGACATCGTTCTGCGGAGTTCTCTTGGTCAATGCAAATGGCGTCTATCCAATATGAGTTCAGGGCGAATGAATCGTTGTCACGAGCTCTCATTAGGAAAGCGTAGAGATTCTCCGTGATTAAGACCTCATGCCAGTGCGGATAAGACTGATTTGCAGAGCCAGGTTTCGCCCGGCAAAGCAATGTGACACTTGGCTTATTTAGCAAAGCTTCTGCTCCTTCATCGGGAAGTGTAGTAGGTGAGCCCCAAGTGTATGAGAGCGCGACGTATTCTGGTTTTTCCCGAAGATCAACAATCTGGAGCTCGCAGGCAAGAGCATTTGACTCGTTTCCTGGGAGAATGTTCACGAGCCTAATTTCATACTCGGGAGCCAGCTTTAATTCCACGTAAAGGCCGGCCATGTTGTCAACGTGAAAAGCTTATTCAGAGCGTGTTCCGTTATCCTCTCGACTGGAGAATGGGTACGATTGCTGAGGTTCATAAAAACGCTACGCAAACAAGAAACCTTTGCAATACGTACGCGCCATATGCAAGAAAAAGGGTATGGAGTTGGAGTTGGAGTTGTCGCAAACAAAAAGAGTGAGGCATGCGTGGTGTGACTGTTTTTAGATGTAGGGCGTGCGGGGGTTCAATTTAGGCATCCACTTTTGGTCAAGGTAAACAGGGCAATGCTGAAAGTTGACTAATCTATCGCGCTGATTACTTTCGTGTGGTTAGCATCTGAATGCTATTGCAGTATCTAGTTTGCGCTCTACTCTTTGGCACGATGGCACCAGGTTCTACCACGTGTCATTTTTAGTTCGAGGCCGTGTCTGGCTTCTTCAGTGGCTTTGTCGAGAAAGCTAAACATGACGTTTCCTTTCGTGCCACGACCCTACCCAGACTTTGTCTCATTGAGAGAACTTTGGAAACAGATAGAGATAAAGCCTTTGATGAAGATGAAGACCTGGAGACGGATCAAAAACCCTAGGAGCGTTTCCGTAACTACATCGACAATTTGACTACTCAAGACGTGGCCTCTACCATATACAAAGACTTGTACCTTACAAGACATGGCTGGGCTTTCATAACTCCTTCGACATGGAGGTGGGGGGGGGGGGAATATCTCGTACGTGGTAGTCGTCCGCCTGTATGTTTTTAAATTTACTAAATTTGAGCAGATTCATTGACCATATTTGGACGGTGACGGACGAATCATTTGGGCTGACCCTCAACTAGACATGGAAGGGATTAGGCAAGCAGAGGAGTTATGCTGATTTTGGTCGCATGCTATATTCAACGAGAGAGTTGCTTTGCCTGGTACATTTCACACCAGTCCTCTGGCTCGCTGTCTAAAAGCTACCCGTCTCGCGTTCGAGAAGACACTCAATTAACAAGGAGTACAGGTTCATTCGGTCGTCAAAGAGTATCTGCGAGATCTTGTTACTGATCGAACTTGCGATAGAAGGAGTACCCGAAGTTGGCCTGAAGAGAATCATTTTAACTACCTCATGGAGCTAGATTTCTCGGAACAGGACAACCTTTAGACAGGGGGACGCTGGGAGACTAGGGATGAGCGTACGGCAAGCACGAAATCAGTGTTGGAGGACATCTTCTCAGCAGATGAAAATGCATCTATAGGACTTACAGTTTACTCATACGCCATCTCTGCTATCTTGAGAGTAGTGGGGTCACCCGAATTTCGGGCAATGGAGGGTAGTAGTATTGCAATACTCGTCAAAGAAGAGAAGACAGGCGGTAATGAATAAGTTGAGATGACATGCGCCGGCTAAGATAGAGAGGTACAAGACCTCAAGGCGGCCTACAGTAGTGCACTCGTATCCATGGATAGAATTACAACATCTAATAGTCACTAAAATTTTGATGGTTTTTGGATTGTTAAGTTGGACTGGCGGGATTGTAATCTGGGTTGATTGTTAACAAATATGCCTTCTAGTCTCGCTAGACCGCTTTTTCCGCCCCACCTATCCAACCTACTCTGTAGTTGATCTGAGGGACATGTTTAGCTCGGATACGAGAGCGAGGACGGTCTGTGTGGTTCTCGTGCTATAAGCAAGACGAAGAACAAGGCCCCCTGTGAGCATCATCAAAGGGGGGCTGTCTACTACTGTTCCTAGCTAGCTAGTTGCCTTTTGGAGTGACTCTTACATAGTCACCAAGTGTGCACGGTGGTAGTCAGGATCCTATGTCCGTCATCTTACTCACAAGGACTGTAGGAGTGTGACTAGGTTGCACTCAAGGCTAAAGTTAAGACTGCGAGTACAAGCATAATGAAGAATGGTAAAAGCTGCTACGAGCGCAACAAAGGTCACTATTTAGAAGTTTGGCTTGCCTTTTGCTTATGAGAATATCATAAGTCTAGCTCTCTAACGCTGAAAGTTTCTATAGAGCAACCTAAGATAGAGTCTTACAAACTTACTACTCTATTTAACCCCTATATAGCTCTTAGTAGTTCTTCTATATGTCTCTTACTATCTACTTTGTACAGTCGCTGTCCGTCTATATCCAATTTCATCTCTTTCTTCCTCTCTACCATCAATATCTATATGCAATGAATTATTTCTTCACTACTATTAAGATTATATATAATGTTAAGTTTGTCGTTAGGGAAATATTTTTCAGATCGGTAAGAGTTTATTTTGAATACTATATCAATATATGCGTTAATATTCTAGTTGAAGGAAAAGCTTTTCTTGGCGATGAACATAAATATCATGATTTCAAAAGATGTTCGAAGTAGGTTCGAGTGCCTTTATCGATAAGGCGGGGACTTTAGCGGGTTTTTACTTGGTACCCATCTTTGCAATTTGATGTACATAATGGCGCCCGCATCTATGCATTCAGCGCTCACCTTTGAACTACTAGCGACATGCTCTGTAAGTAATTTAGAAAGAAGTTAGAATCGCAGGCCAGCTAGTAACGGCTGTAGGTGACCCGGGCGCGTGCTGCGACGCTTCATCTCCCTCATGGTCCAGTACCCCTCCCCATCTTCATGCCAGTTGCGACCCAGGCCTCGCTCAAGGGTCTTACTCCCGATCAATTAGAGGACCAAGGATGTCGTCTTTGCTTGAATAACACATACCATCTGTAAAGCAAAACTATCTCGTCGACTGTTCTTGAGACTGACGGGTGGGAGAGGTCTCAAGCCAGGACAGGCGACACTTGACTCAATAGGTGGCGCACATAAGCTGCAGTCATGGCCCCATAGCATTCTTACAGGTATTACCCATATACCAGCACAGACATGAAGATGCGAAAGTGCTAACGGCTGCAGATAGTGGCGGGTAGGTGGACATGCCACCTTGATCGCAAATAGAACGCCTGGCTGACACGATAACCAGCTTCCAAATGGTTTCTCTACTCAAACTCGCAAAAGTCACAGAGGAAGGCGTCCGGTTCCTGAGTCCTCACGATGGTTCGCCCATGTTACTTACGCCTGAACACTCGATATCCCTACAAAACTCCATTGGTAGCGACATCATGATGCAACTCGATGACGTTATTGTCACTACATCTCCCGATCATGCGCGCATGAGGGAAGCCATGGAACGCTCGGTACGTTGGCTCGACCGCTGCATCCAGGCCCACAAATACCCAGAGAAGCAGAACCTCTTTTGCATTATACAAGGTGGATTGGATTTGGAAATGCGCAGGGAGTGCACTCTCCAGATGGTAGCACGGGATACTCCCGGAATTGCCATTGGAGGCCTGTCTGGTGGCGAGGAAAAAGAGGCGTATTGCAAAGTTGTGAAGACATGCACTGAGCTGCTTCCCCAGAAGAAACCTCGTTACGTTATGGGCGTAGTATGTCGCATCGTCTCGCTTGAGCGAAGCGCCTGCTAACCGGTAATAGGGTTACCCGGAAGACCTGGTAGTATCCGTAGCTCTCGGTGCAGATATGTTTGACTGTGTGTGGCCAACACGAACCGCTGTATGTTGTTTCTTGTTCCCCTTCACTCAAGTTATACCACTAAAAACAGTTAGCGATTTGGTAACGCCATCACATCCCGCGGTTCATTGAACCTCCGTAATGCCATCTATTCAGAAGACTTCAGCCCCATTGAAAAAGGCTGTAACTGTACTTGCTGTCGACCAACATCAGCCGGTGGTCTCGGTATCACTCGAGCCTACATCTACCACGTTACCGCAAAGGAGACAGCGGGTGCTCATCTTCTTACCATGCACAACGTTTACTATCAGCTGAACCTAATGAGGCTCGTCAGACAAGCCATCATTGAAGACCGATATCCGCAGTTTTTGAAAGACTTTTTCAATAACCTCTACAATGGGCAGAAGGACAAATACCCTCAGTGGGCTGTTGACGCCTTGAGAGGGGTCAATGTCGACCTTCTCAGCAACGATGCTTAGCTTTCGGGGGACCAATTCATCTACAGATACCGGTTGTAGCTAGCAACGAACATCCATAGTATTCACCCTGACTTTCTTGGTATTCTTCTTGGCAATTCTCATTCATGTGTCTTTGGAGAAATCTTCTAAACAGTGAGCGATGATCTGGTACATTTACAGTATCAAGACCTCTACTGTTTACCAATGTACCTATGTTGATCGTCTAATAGGTAAACGCAATTTTATATTTCTACGCTTATATATGAATGCAACATTTGGAGAGCGGGTTGACAAGGGCCAAGAAGCATGTCTGCGACAAATTGTTTCTGTCCAAGCGTTACTCTACAGCCCATAGGTTTTATGCTTCATATTCAGGTGGTGTCCAGATTTTCGTACTTCCAAATGCGGGTATAACACGACCAAGCACACCGCTGAATCTTTGGACAAATGGATGTGAAAGTACACCTGTGACATTGTTGAAGACTGTAATACCCCATTCAGTTTGAGGATTTGCGATTTGTGGAGCACCCGGTATAAGTCTTTGGGCCTTGTCGACGTATTGCCTGGTGATACGTTCGTAATTGGCCAGAGCAGAGGGAACATCATTGGGCATCTTGGACAATTCGCCTGCAAGAATATAGGCGCCCACTATTCCTGCACCTGTACCCTATGCACCTATCAGTATATTTGGTTCTAGAATGGGAAAATCGAGCCTATGGGCTTGAGAAGGGGAAAAAGTCACATACCACACCAGAGATTGGACTCGGACAATACGCTGCATCTCCTACCAAAGTGACGTGTCCCTTCACCCATGTGTCCATCTTAACCTGGGCAATCTGCTGCATGTAGAAATCATCTGCTTTCTTCATCTCTCGAATACAGCGTTCTGCCTGGAACCCAGCGTCTGAAAACTCCTTTTCAAACCATTCTTGCTGTTCTTCTCTTGATCCCTTCTTCAGGAGGCGATCAATCTCGTCAAAACGGGAGAGATTAGCATCGGTGACAGCAAGGTATGCTCTCGTCGTACCGTACTGGTCTGGTCGGAGGAGGAAAAGGCGGCCGCGCGATGCGTTGTACCATTGCGCATACTGGGTGTCAGTTGGATCGCGCGGCATAGTGAATAAGGCGGAGTATTGTCCTAGGCGGTACAAGTAATCGTCATTGTTGGGACCGTGACCGAAGACGAGGCGTCGGGTACGTGACATCTGACCATCTGCACCTACAACCAGATCATATCTCGTGGGAGCAGTCTTGTTTTTGAAAGTCACGTCTACTTTTCCGTCATCTTTCTCCTCGATTGATGTGATCATTTCGTCAAAGATGAAGGTTATTTGTGGGTTGTCTTTCACAGCGTCGTAAACGATGCGTGCCATGTCTCCACGGAGGATCTCATACTCGCTCGTTGCTGCATTTCGGTTAGCATTCGTTTACCACTTTCCCTTTTGAGGGATCCCTCTCATTGATTCACATGACAAGGCTTTCATGGAGAGTTAGACTCATGACGTACCACTCTGGCGTTCTTCTTCTCCTGTTGCCTCAAAAGTCGCTCTTGTTTTGCCATTGCGGTAGACAAATTGCATTCCCACCTCGGTTGTATTGTGTTCTTTGACCTTGCCCAACAGGCCCATTTTCTTTACAATAGGCAGACATGATGAACGAAGATCGACTGCCTGGCCACCTAAGCGTGGTTCGGGGCTACGTTCAACGATGGTGATTTTTGAGGATGGAAGTAGGCGGTTTAGCCAGTAAGCAAAACATGGCCCTGCAATACCAGAGCCGGATATGAGCACGTTGAGAGAGACGGCGGATGATGTGGGCATTTCTGCGGAGGAGCAAGTAGTCTGAAGAAGGAACAAAGGGCTGAATAGTTGGATAGGGGTGGAAAGTATGGATAACGAAGACAAAGAGGATTCAGCTGAGCAATTTAAGGTGATGAAAGCCCTTGGTCACGGGCAAATGGTTGCACACGCTATCCCATAGATTCGTCTTGGAACATGAGCTACTCTGCCTTTGCACAAAACAACAAAACTCATTCCAAGGGCACAGATCAGGTAATTCCTACTGCGGACATCTTGAATCATTTTCAACCAGATCGATGGCCAGAAGCTAATCTACTGCGTTGTAATGACGTCAGCTAAAGACACCACACAGTATTTAGTGGGCACAAAAGATTGGCAGCAGGGCTGTATGGGCACTCTGAGAACTTTTGCTTGGTTGCTAAGCAGCATTGCGCCTGTTAAAGTGCCGTTGGGATGTCTGTTACGGAAGTCCGTAGCCCAGCATCGGGGTGTCGGGGCATGGACAGGCACCGAGCACGGTTGTTGCCGAATTGGAGCACACCAGTGGGGAGAAGCACTGGGGTGCTGGCGAAATCTGGCCGACGCTTCTGCGCCTGAGTTTGCCTGATGATCGAGGTACACATGCACCATCGGTACATTTTACCATCCATCGTCTCGGCACTCCTCTAAGATATATGTGGCGGGGTGCATGAGATACGCCGTCTCGCAAGGATTTGTCAGTCCTGTGCGACATGAGCGCACCAAGCTCGTCATACGTGTTGCGCAGAGAGATGTTGCGGTGAACTTTATCAACAAGACCGTTTGCACCAGGCTGCAGTACGGAATGTGCCCTGAGACTGGGCCAGAAAAGGGGCAATAGGGAACAATTGAAATGCTGTATACATACATGCACAAGTGATCAAGGGTTGGGCCTGCTTACAAGTTACTGGAAAAGTGATCTTCATTCATCGACGCCAAAATTGAAAACATTAAACAACTAGATAAACAGACGGTCCCCGTGGTACTTGACGTTATCTCTGTACGCAGTTGACCTGGCAGCAACCTCGAGCTCGCGCTTAGGAAAGCCCTTGAAAGACTGGGCATAGGTCGCGACGGAATGAGCAATGAGCTACGGCGTGTAAGTAAATCGCTTGTACATGGCCGAGGTGGGAGGTGGAAAGAACTTACTTTTGTGTTGACGACCCAGGCTGTGATGTTGACGTTGCCGACATCGTCACAAAGCTGGTGGTAACATGGGTCATACCAGTCCCCTGCCTTGCCGCCAAACATGCCAGCCTCCTCGTCCGTCTTGATGCCTTCAGCACCAGTCGCAATACCACCGCCTGGAATGCCGTTGCGGATAAATCCGTCATAGTCACTGCGACCGTCAAACGGAATAAAGGTGTAGTTCAGGCCCTGTTCCTTATACCAGCTGATGTACAAGTCGCGAAGCTCCTCCGATCCTCTCGGGTTGACGGCATTGGTGGCATTGTAGATTTGGTAGGCAAAGTTAGGACTGGCCATCATATCGTAATCCATGAATAGGCGAATCTTTTGATTCTCCTGGTCGGAGAGCGAGGCAACATAGTAATCAGAACCTAGCAAACCTTCTTCTTCGCCGGCCCACCACGCAAATCGGACACAGTTGGAGACGTTGAACTTTGTGAGCTGGGAAGCGACCTCGAGGAGAGATATTGTACCCGAGCCATCATCGTTGATACCGGGGCCCTCAGTCACACTATCGCTATGGGCGCCGAGCATGACGCAATTGTCGGAATCGCCTTCAGTCGTCTGAGCGACAATGTTGACAGTCTGGATTTCATTGACCTCGGCATCAATGTACGCGATGCCGTCAACGTGGGTTCCCTGTTTGAGCTTCTTCAAAACTGGCTCTGCTTCCTCTCCAGAGAGACCAAAGGTGGCAATGTGATTGGGCGATGGTGTTCCCAAAGTGCCCGAAACAGGATCCTTTTCATAGTTGTATACGACAGCCGCCACGGCGCCTTTGCGACCAGCGTGCTCGGACTTTGTGCCAAACGGGCACACTCCACGCTTGATGAAGGCAATGTTGCCCGCCACAGAGTCGGGGAAATCGGATGCCTCGCAGCCTTGGTTGTCGACGAGGACAAGATCGCCGTGTACAGGCTCCTTGTCCTTGGTTGCTGGCGTCAGACCCATGGGTGCTGCTGATTTGGGCACGCCATCGCCAATGACCAAGCGCGACTCGAAGACGTTGCCAGACACGGCAGGGAAGGACTGGTTGGAGATGGTGTAATAGTCTCCAAGCTCGAGCAGAGTCTCGTAGATGTATGATAGGGTGCCGAGATGGCCTACAGGGGGGTCAGTCTCATCGTCTTGACATGGACACACACACGACGTGAACACGCGTACCAGCGCTGCCAATGACTCTGGTCGGATGGTTGTACTCGGCTTCACCAAGTTTGGCAATTTCATACAGCTTCTTGGCGCGCGTCATCAATCTATCGCCACTGATGAGCTCCTGGAGCTCCGTCGAGTTGACGAGCGGCTTCGTCCCCTGGGCATGGCCGAGCAGCGCCTGGTTGCTCGACGACAGCAGGGGGATCTGAAGCGCAGTGGCGCTGGTTACGGCCGCACACAGCGCAAAGCCGGACAGGAAGACCATGATGGGCAAGGGGAGAGGGGCAGCGATGGATGCGGCAGGACGAGGGATGACAGACAGTCACGGTGTTTGTTTGACTGGCGGGTCGTCTTGTTGCCGTGACGCTAACACGCGCGTGCCCATGACGCCTGTCCCCGTGCACCAGGCCAGGTCACGTCGCACAGGCAGGATGGATCCCGTTTCCGGCGCATTGAGAGTGCCGTGTCGGACGAGGCTGAGCTGGATGTCGGTAAGCAGCTACTGGATACTTACACGCCATGGCCCTGATTCCAGACCCATGTTTGAGGATGCAGTTTGTTCGCCATGTACGCAGTGAGCGCTAGCGCCCCCACCCCCCGGACGTCCAGGGCATGTCGATGATGTAAGCAGGTAAGGCCTGAAGCATGTGTTTAGCCAAGTATGTAATTCCATGTCCCTGAGCTGCGTACATACGTAGTATGTGCTAGCACGATGGGTTGCAGCGGGACAGCGACTTTTCACGATGGCTGTCCCTGTCGGCGTATACTGGCGCATCGGAGCTAGAGGCAAAGCAAGCGATCTCTTCTACACTTGGTTACGGCGGGAGACGATCATGTTTGCGGGGGGATGCAAGCGCCGCCGCCCGCTGCAAAGCATAGCATAGCATAGTAGCGGCTGTGAGGGTGCCCATGCAAACGCTCCGGGCGAGGGGGCGGCGTTTCGGCGCCCAGCACCAGGCAGAGGGCAAGTATGTGTGCCAACCAAAGGCGTGCGGTATTTCCTCGTTCCTGCACCGTAGTGGCTGGGCATATTTTGCATGAGCCGGCGAGAAACAGCGACAACGGCGAGCGCCCCTTGCGACGGTGGCTGGGCTGGCTGGTATGCCAAGGCGTGTCAAGCATCGCCAGGCCACAGCGGACGATGCTTGGTGACGTGTCTGCAGCAGCCAAGGCCGGGCGGGCAGTGAGGACGGGCGGGCCAGAGCCAATGGCCGGGCGCGGGTGCGGACGCGACGTTGCAGGTTGCAGAGTTTCGGTGTAGTATATGTGGTGCAGCAGAGTCTGGCTGGCGGACCAAGCACCAACATGGAGGCTGCGCCCCAGCCCTTGGCGCACAGGGAAACACCATACTTACTTGGCCATGGCCGCCCGAGATGACGCCGGCGCCCTTCAGCTTTACTTAGAGGCACCAGCTGCTCGTCGTGAGCCTGGTGTTTCGTTCCTTTGCATCTCCTCTGTTCCTGCTCCCTCCCGCCCTGGCCCGCCACCCTCGCATGCCAGACAGCTCGCACGCCCGCCCATCCTAAACCTGCCGGCGTCAGTGGCCCCGAGCGCTGCAAGCGACTACACTAAGTACACCAAGTACACCCTCGACCCCTGCCAGCCGCCATCGTCATCGCCATGGCCCACAGCTCCCGGCCCTCGCGCGACTACCCCCACGGCCACGGCCATGGCCACCGCTCCTCGCGCGACCGGGCCTACAGCACCGACAAGCCTCGTAGTCGACGGCCGTCGGAAGACCATCGTGCCAGGCGGCGTGAGTCGCTGCCGCAGTACAACCACAATGGCCACAAGGTCACAAAGGGCATCCACCCCGAGGGCGAGAGTGGCAGGAGCGGCTTCCACCCCATCAGGTTCCTCGTCATCAGCGCCAAGAGCAGCAGCACCCCGTCCATGCTCGTCAACTTGCTGTGGCCCATTGTCCCCGTCGCCATTGCCCTGGTCAGTGAGCCTCGTTGCATGGGCAAGCCATTGCACCCAACCCGCACACGCTGCTGACCCCTCCCGTAGCACTTTGTAAAGCCGGAATGGCACCTTGCCATCTTCATCACAAACTACATTGCCATGCTGCCCGCTGCCAACATGCTGGGCTTCGCCGGCCAGGAGTTCTCCCGCAAGATGCCAAACAAGTCTTTTGCCGTTGTGCTCGAGACGACGTTTGGCTCCATTGTCGAGATCATCCTCTTCATGGTTTTGCTCCGGACCTCAAGGGGCGACTCCAATGTTCAGGTCATCAAGGCTGCCATTCTGGGCTCCATTCTCGCCAATCTCTTGCTCTGCCTGGGCTCATGGTACGCCTCCAGTGCCCCTGTCCTTGTTGCCGCTGTCATCTAACCTCAAAATCTAGCTTCATTGCAGGTGGTATCAAACACAACCAGCAGGAGTTCCACGAGGCCATTTCTGAAAACGGTTCGGGCTTCATGCTCGTTGCTGCCAGTAAGCTCACATCCGCACCCTCGCACATACCCACATATGCTAATCCCCCATAGTGGCTCTTGTCCTCCCTGCCGTCTTCTACTCTTACCTCAACCAAAACCCCGACTACGAAAACAATGTCGATATTGCATACAATACCCGCCTCATCTCCCGTGGCGTAGCCATCATCTCCATCGTCGGCTACCTCATCTACATTGTCTTCCAGACGGTTTCCCACGATGGTCTGCTCCACGAGATCTACGAAGAAGACGACGCAAAAGACAAGGACCGCCACAAGGAGCTCAAGAAGCCCAAGCTCACCATGGTCGAAGTCTTGGTAGCCCTCGTCATCTCCTTGGCCTGCGTCTCACTCGTCGCCATTGCCCTGGTTCAGGAAATCCCCTACATTGTAGAGCGCGGAGTCAGCGACGCTTTTGTCGGTCTGATTCTGATTCCACTTGTTGAGAAGATTGCCGAGCATCTCCTTGCCATTGACGAAGCCTATGACAATCAGATCAACATGGCTCTCGCTCACGTTCTCGGCGCCTCGATCCAAACCGCTTTGCTCAACGCTCCTCTCGTTGTCCTGGTTGGCTGGGGTCTTGGCGTTGGCATGGACTACAACTTTTCCATGTTCGATGCTGCTGCACTAGTGCTTGCAGTACTTACTGTCGGTTCGTTCCTTCGTGACGGCAAGTCCAACTACCTCGAGGGTGTACTTTGCGTCATGACTTACATCATCATCGCTGTTTGCGCTTTTTACTTCCCAAACCCAGCCGGTCACGGTGCTTCCGCAGGTCATGGTGCTGAAGGCGGTGCTGAAGGTGGTGCTGAGGGCGGTCATTAGGCCTTTGTTGTTGAGCGGTTTGAGGATACAGACTGCCGCAACATTTGCTTCGATTTGGGAACCACATAGCCACGGCGTTGCGGAGTTGAATCCACAAGATCTGAGCCTATGCTGTTTAGATTCTTGAAGCCATCATCTCCGATGCTCTTCCCTGGGAACTAGCTTTTCTTTTCATTTGTATAGTCTACCTTGTTCTTTCATACTGCGTACTTAGCGAGCGAATTGTATCAATTTTTTCTTTCCGCACTCAAAATTAGCAACGTCGATGCTATGACCAATATCCATATGCGCAAAATACGAATAGCGGACCATAACTCTTCCCTGTGTGCTATACTGGAGGATGTGATGTGATACAGCCCTGTTGGTGTGGGGGAAGGTAGCGCAGTCGTCATGCCATATTCGCACTAGGCCACCGTGCACAGACCACCACGCACACTCTTGCCGAAATATCGACCCCATTCTCCCAACTCTCTCTTCAGCGACAATCCCACAAACCCGACAGCCACCGCCCCTTCCCACGACAACCTCTTTTCCCAGCTCACACAAAAGGTCGCCAAAATGGGTCGCGTCCGAACTAAGACCGTCAAGAAGTCCGCCAAGGTCATCATTGAGCGTTACTACCCCAAGCTGTCTCTGGACTTCGAGACCAACAAGAGGATTTGCGATGAGATTGCCATTATCGCGTCCAAGAGGCTCAGGAACAAGATTGCCGGATACACTACTCATTTGTATGTGCAACTGCGCTGTTGATGGTTTGCTGGGAGCAATTGGCGATTGAGATGCCCCCACGGCTGAATGGGCAGCCTTTCAGCACTCGCGAAAAACCAATGGCTCTCACCACAACCTCCACTGCAGCGCGATAATCCATCTATCTGTACAGTCGCAATGGCTAACAAGTTGTAGGATGAAGCGTATCCAGCGTGGTCCCGTCCGTGGTATCTCATTCAAGCTCCAAGAAGAGGAGCGTGAGCGAAAGGATCAATACGTCCCCGAGATCTCCGCTCTCGACTTCACTCAGAACAGCGAGTCCGGCTCGCTCGACGTCGACCAGGAGACCAAGGACCTGCTCAAGAGCATGGGTGTAAGCATTTACTTTGTTAAAGTCTCAATTCGCGGCAATCCACTAACTTGAGTAACAGTTCGACAGCATCCCCACCAACGTCGTCGCTGTCTCTCAGCAACAAGTTGTCGAGCGCCCCCGTCGCTTCAACGACCGCCCAGGCCGCTCGTAGATGCGAATGCGAATCCACGATCCGACGGTCTCCCTTCTTCCTCCCTTCTCGATTTTCTGAAAATATGGTGTCTGGGAAAGGGTTTCTTCTGCCACGATTATGGCAAGGTTTTACGGCTATATACGGCGGCATGATGATCAGGAGTCAATGAAACAAAAAGGTTCTCCCCCCCACTAGGTGTCGCTGAGTCCTCGTGCCGCAAGACACGAGGAGGATGCTTGATTGCCATTTCCCCTCCCCTTGCCCTTCTGCTTGACGTGACACTAGTGTGATGTTATGACAAGGTGCGTAGCTTCCTAACTGGCAAGTGTCATTCCTGTGTGCAAAGCCGGTGCTGTCAACACGGTGACGTGTTTGGCCTATGTTCGATCTATTGTTGACTGTCATCGAATTTCTTTCGCTCAATATTTTCCTTTCCAAGGACAGGCATCTTTCTATTCTGGTCTCTTGATGAGACAACTTCCAACAACATTTCCTGAACATGTCCCTCGCCATTTCTTCTCAACTCCTGGCACGATTTGCACACCTGAAGCAAGTGCCCGACGTATTTTGAGGCCACGCACCAGTATAGCCGCCTGGTCGTTTATTCACATCTGACACGGTCGGGACACTCGGCTCGTTCGACTTTGTTGCTTCCTCGCCACCTCGAATATGCATGTCTCTCCAACCAACGTCCAGCACGGCTAGATGCAAGCTACTTGGTCTGCTCATTAACGTATCGTCTGGTCCTCGCTTCATCTCCATAGTTTTCGCGGCTGCCAACATGGTAGCACTTGTAGACATTGGTTCTGCTACCGTATTTAACACAGGCACTCCTATATTGGCACCCACAGTAGCCCTGGGAGTAGGTACTGTGAGATTATTGCAAGTAGCAAGCGAATCGAAAGCAGGCCTCTGCACAGAGGTTAACTCACTGGTGTCTGTGAGGCTCTGAAAATCGCTTCGCATAGAGCTCCAACCCCTCTGAACAAAAGTTGGCCGGGTGCCGTTTTCTAAGATGGGATATCGGTGATGGTAGTCTTGCATACGCTTCGTAGGCTCGGTAGTGAATGCCCATCAATTAAGCATCCGAGAACCTAAAACATCGGGTGAAGAAGCAACAGTTTTTGCACAGAAACTGCCTTTGTTGCGAATCCGATGTCCTCGATGATTGATGTATACAGCAGTCCCGAGACCGGAAATTTGGAAAATGAAAACAGCGGCCACGATCGCTGCTCTGAAAAATGCTGAGAGAATCATGTCATTCTAACTGGACAGAACCAATTCATAAAGAGCGGGTAGTAGGAATAACGTCAGGGAAGAACAAAATCGGTTTCAAGTCGAAAATAATCAGCTACTGACCCCTCCCATCAATGAATGATATAAGAGAATCAACATGAAAATCTCGAGAATAAGGCGTTTGCTCAATGTGGTTTTGATCAAAACGACAAGCGCTGTGTGACATTGAAGTCGACAGGAGGCAGCGTATGGCGCGGACATCCGATCCGTATGACAATTTCGAAACCCAATGTGAATCCCATCTCCCATGCCACATCTGAGAAATATTACACATCCACAAGCGGCACCTTGAAAAAAAACTTTACTTGATATTGGAGTAAGTTCGGTTTGAAAATCGATTCAAGATCGTTTCCACTTCTTCCCTTGACAATATATGCATATTACATCAATCTTCAAGAACCAAAACCGCAGAATCTAGTTACTACCCATATTTGTAGTAAACGAAGCCTTGTTTCCCAGAACATCCGTCCCTATTCAAACGGTTACTGTTCATGAATGATTTTACTGGGTTTTGCAAACGGAAACTGAACGCGGTTTAGTTGTAAATAGGCAATGTGGTGAGGCTGTTTAAAATAACTCTATTTAATGAAAATCATTACTAAAAACCAAAAATCGGCCGGCGTGTTTTATACATATAGAACTGAGGGCATGTATCTACTGAGTAGTGACATGGGGCTAACTTGTATGAACAACGCTGCCGGCCTAGTTGTTTAGTCAGCCGATCACCTGCTACACCCGTGTCACCTCGGATGCCCTTACTAGAAATGGCTCTACGTGTCGCATACTTGTATTCACGGGAATAGATCGTAGCAGGTGAACTGAAAGTGCGCCAAATCGTCCATATCCTGAGTTCTGCACAGCATGTCCCAATCTCAAGAAACAGACGCTTTAATCACATCAGGCTCATGAATAAATCATATCAGTTGCTTTTCAATACAGTCGTCTGAAAGATGTAAACCAGTTGCCACATGTTGTAAGGCGTATTGAATACTCAAAGTTTGCTTTTATTTCATTCTGTGTTTGAATCCCACCAAATATCGTAGTCTGGCCTCTGTGGTTGCAACAAGCATCAACAGTTGATGAAATGAATGGAGCATCAATCGCCGCATGTGGTAAGTACATCAAGTCAGGCGAGCATAGCCAAGACACTGCTTTACAGGCTTATGCATTCACGTGCTTTATGTGTGGCAACATGTTTTTGGTGACTGGTGAAGTGAAACGACAGCAGCGAAGGCATACCAAAACATACGATGAAGTTGTCCGTGATTCTGAGCCTGACAAGATAGTAAAGAGAAGAAACCTCCTTCTGGTGTGTCGTGGTGCATGCGCCAAAACTTTGCCCTAGGCCGTTTCCAACCATGTCGTTTGGATCACGATTTGGCTGGGGTGACGGCACGTCACGTGCAGCTCCAATGCTCTGCCAAGCAGACCCCTAGCAGCGCTAGCTACGCGAGCGTGAATGTTTTCACCTACACTCTTGTTCTGACAACCCCAACCACCCCGCAGCACTCGGCCTCAACCGCAAACGTCTATCCCAACAGTGGCCGACCCATATCTGGACCTTTCTTCTTTGTAATTACATACTGACTTGCAAGTGTTCAAGTTACCCCATTCGGTATATCAGGTCATCTGTCGCGCTTGGATCAACATGTCACCTGCTCCAATCGCCCAGATTGTTAGTACCTTGCCCTCGTCGCCACCACAGCAGCACCCCACTCCCAACTGTGAGTCAATGGCCATTCGAGACACGTTCGGTTAAGATCTAACGCCATGTACAGCGACACCTGTTCCTGCTTCCAAACACTTTGATGACATATTCCACGCAAAGTTCATGAACATTATTCAGGAATGGAAGAATGACCCTTCTCGTGGCCAACTGACCCAAAAGGATCGCAAGACTTTCATCGAGACTGCGTTTTCCGAAACTGACGAACTTTACTTTGGCCAACGCGTAATGTCCGACAATGACATTAAGCTTCGCGCTCTTACCAAGGTCTTCTACAAGGTATTAGCCGAAGAGCCCTGGTCTGAAGACTGGATACGCGCTCCGGATGTTGAGCGCAAGCTTTCCAAGTTTGAAATGCACGAGGACTCGGTTGCACTTGCAAAGAAGTACGGCTTTACCACTCCACGCGAGGCAGTCAAGGCTGCACGCGAAGCCAGTGTCAAGAATGCCGATATTCTCAAGGAGGCGCAAAAAGAAGGAAAGACACTCAAAGATCTCAAGCTCGACCGTGGCCCATTTGACGACATTGAGATTGTCTACATTGCTGGCACCGTCTCATCATCAGCGACAAGCAAAATTGATCGCAATAGTATCTACCCCGTCTCGGTCTCTTCAGTCGCCAATGTTCTCCAGAACCATATTTGTCGGGATATGGTGCGGCCATACTCGATGGCTGAGCGCTTTGTCAATTGCACCGACACAGGGGATCTCGAGGAAATGCGGCGCTTTGCTTGCAACGTGTGCGATTTTTGTCCCCATCTCCTTGATAATGATAACGTCAGTCTGCTGGTAGTACTCCTTATCCTATCGCGGTCCGATTGCTGTCGCCGTTTTGAAGCCAATGGCATTCGTATTGAGGGCTCGACCATCAGTCATCGTAAGGCTGAGTGCATGAAGAACAAGATGGGATGGAGGACAAGCGAGGACAAGAAGCCCTACGACAATTTTGCTCAGGAGTTCCAGACACGAGTCAAGAATGCCTGCTTCCCAGCTCCTCGAGCCCAGCGCATTGGCGGCCGGAAGCCGGCACGCACTTCTTCCACTCCTACAGCCACTCCCATCTACCTACACAGTCCAGTCGGCTACATGGCAGCTCCTCACGCCCATCAACACCACGCAAATTCCGGCATCAATATTCCTGCTCCCCCGCCATACAATGGATTCTCACAGCCAGCAGCCAGCGCGATAAAGATGCAGCAGCCTTTCGCATCGCCTGGTGGCAGCAATGCAGAGCTGATGGATCTTTCTTAGATGCATCAGTGGCTTTTGCATTGAGGCGCCACCACTTCTCCTTGGACTGTCTTATTGCATCGACATGGCGTCTTCCTGGTAGTTTGTAGCTTCTTCAAAAGGGATGTTCAAATGGCGTTTGGTGGTTGAAGGGTGGTTAAGCATTCGTGGCGGTGGCATTGTGCGAGCTCCGGTCTGACGTGAGCCAATTTGATGTACAAATAGCCAAATTTGCGCCTTTCATGGCTATGTAATGTAAATCTATTGAACAGCTTGGCTTTGCGATAAGTGCATAGGAGAGTGGTGGTCTAATTGTGATTGACGTGTCCATGTCACGAACCATGGCAGAGCATGGACCTAGCCAAGAAGGTGCAGGTGTAGTGTACTAAGAAGATCAGCTCGGGTGCCCATCAACCGTGTTCTAGGCACCATGTGTGCTTTTTGGTGTATCGTTTGGCCCTACTCCAGTCGTCGACCAAGTTCGGTTGCCAAGACAAGGGGTCGTTGGTGCTCGACGCAGAATGATAAGTAATGTGTTGATCGGCCCCTCACTCACCAAGTCCGTAGTACGTATGTAAGTAGTAGACTACAATCATGGAGCTCACCGGCTTTGACCTTTTTGCTTTGTTTCTTTGCTCAAGCATTTTCGGCTTGCTCGTGTCCGTATGGTCCAAGGCAAGTCATGCACAACAGGTTGACGTTTATGTTTGCATACTGACACTCTCAGTCTGAGCTCATCAGTGGGCGCGAGATGACGCTGGTCGTGGCGGTGTTTGTGGGGGTCGTGGCGGTGTTGTTCACGCAGTTTTCCACCAGCAGAGCGCTGGCGGACTTCCTGTCCAAGGACGTTAGCAGCATTCACCGGAAGCAGCTCGAGGACCTGACAGAAGCCCATGGCCACCACACGGCCGGACTGAAGAGCGAGCATTACGGCGCACATTTGCGGCTACTGAACAAGATCAACGATGCCAACGCACGGTTCGATCGGATTTACAACGAGTATGAGCAAATGTCGACAAAGTATCAAGAGCAGATGCGCAACATGCAAGAAAAAGAGGATCGCATTCGGTATCTTGAAACAAGGCTTGGAGAGTTCGGGCAGAGCAGGACGAGTATTGCTCGCATCCCCTTGTCTGCTCCGGCAACACAAATCAGCTTTATGAAGCCACCACGTGGCCAAAGATTCAATGAGGGAAACCGATGGCCTCCTTGGACGGGCCTGCTTCCTAGGGTTGTCGAAGCCGAGGACGAGTAGCTGCTGCTGCGCACAGTGCTCGTGGGAAGGACTTTGGGGAGATGGGGTAGTGGATGGTGTACGTACGGATGCAAGGCATGAAGTCGCCATTGCAGAGGCTCGTATGGTTGATGAAGAACAAACGGGGATTAGGATACTTGGGCCGACTGGAGCAGGTGACAAAGGCGTAGCAGGGCCGTGGCTTCCGATTTGGGCCGATTTGGGCTTGTTGTTCAACGTGCAGGCGCGACGGGCACATGGGCTTGGATCGTGGCTTCCTCGCCAGGGCGACAGGTGAGGGGTGGTGGATAGCAACATGCTGCCATGCATAGTACTTGGATACGTAGTACTGGCCGTGCCAGGGCTTGAACACGCGTTGCTTTCTTTGAGCGGAGACTGATTGCTGTTGTGACCAAAGCCGTTCTTTTACTACTAGGAACAAGCATCAGGGATCCCATGTCCAAGTCTACACATGCACTTGGCTCCACGCGAGGACAGCCGGTGCCGCCCCATGTTCGCAGCCGCCATGTTCAAGGCCACAGACTGGAATGATTTCCA